TGGGTTGGTTAGTTGTCCTTTTATTGTTGAGTTGTAAAGGTTTTGTGTAAATTCTGGATTCTAGTCTCTTATTGGATATACATTTTACAAATATTTTCTTCCATTCTGTGGATTGTATTTTCACGTTCTTTTTTTTTTTTTTTTTTTTTTTTTGTCCTTTTGAGACTGTCTCGTTATGCAGCTCAGGCTAGCTTTGAGCTCACTTTGTAGTCCAAGCTAGTCTCAAACTCAAAACCATCCTCCTGCTTCAGCTCCTGAGTGGTAGTATTACAGGTTTCAGCCACCATGCCTGGCTTTCACATTCTTGATAGTGTCTTGAAGCACAGAAATTTTTATTTTTCATTTTGTTTTTGTTTTTGAAATAGTGTCTCACTGTGTAGTCCAGATGGCCTTGGAATAGCTATGTAACTCAGGCTGGCCTTGAACACAAAATTCTCCTGCCTCAACCTCCCAAGTGCTAGGATTATAGATGTGGCACCACACCTGTCAGAAACTCTTAATTTTGATGAAGTCCAAGGTATCTAGATGTTTTTGTGTCATTTGTACTCCTTTATTTAATCCCTGGCCCTATTTAAGTAACAATTTTTAAATTCAAAGTCACAAAAATTTATTTCTATTTTTTTCCTAAAAGTTTTATACACTTTGTTTTTCTTGAGACAGGGTCTTGCTATGTAGTCCAGGCTGGCCTCCACATTATGCTCTTCTTTCCCTAGCTTCCAGAATGTCCGAGATTATAGGTATGCATGCCACACTTGGTTCTAAACTCTTCTGTTTACATCTAAAGTGGTCCACCTTAGATTATGCTATGAAGGAGGGATCTAAATTAATTGTCTTATATGGTGTCAGTTTCAGCACCATTTGTTGAAGATACTGATCTTGGACTATTGAGTGGTCTTAGTACCACATTTGAAACTCAGTTTGCTATAAATTATGGGTTTATTTATGAATCTTGATTCTACTCCATTGAGTTATATGTCTTTCCTGTGACAGGAACATCGTATTTTAATGACTTTAGCTTTGTAGTACGTTCTAAAGTTGGAACTTGTGAACCTTTCAGCTTTGTTCTTATTTTCTGAGATGTTTTGGATATTTAGGTTATTTTAATTTACATATGAACTTTAGGATCACCTTGTCAATTTCTGAAAAGAAAAAACTTAGTTGGAATTTGAAAGAATTGCCTTAAATTTGTAGATAAATTTGGTGAGTATTGCCCTATAAAATATTAATCTAATCTATGAACACAAATGTCTTTTTAAATTTTAGTTCTTTATTTCAAAAGTTTGTAATTTTTCATCTCAGTGCAGAAAAAATGGTTGTTATCAGACAATCAACCAGTAGCAAATGCTGGGGAAGCTGTGGGAAAAAAGGAACCCTTCTCTACTGTTGGTGGGAGTGTAGGGTGATAAACACTATGGAAATCGTATGAAAATTTCTCAGAAAACTAAAAATGGAAATTCCACTTGATCCAGCTTTCTCCTTCTAGGTATCTTCCCAAAAGAGTTAAAGGCATCATTCCACAGTGATGTATGCACACCCACATTTATAGCAGTACAGTTTGTAATAGCTAATTCTTGGGAGGAGCCTATATGTTCATCAACAGATGAGTGGACACAGAGAACAGTGGTATTTATACACAATGGAGTACTACTATACCACAAAAGATATACATTTAAGTTACTAGTAGGAAAATGGATGCACTTTGAGACCATAATGTTAAGTGAAATAACTCAAATACATTAGATTAACTGTCATATGATTTCTTTTATATGAAAAGTTCAGTCTATACCTATATCTGTATCTGTCCCTCTCTCTCTCCTATTATCTATCTTTCTATCTCTCTATCTTAGAAAAATTAGGAAAGAAAAGTTATTGTAATATGGTATATAAAAGCATAACTGCCGGGCATTGTGGCACGTACCTGTAATCCTAGCACTCACGAGGCTGAGGCAGGAGGATTGTAGGGAGTTGCAGGCCAGTCTAGGTTATATAGTGAGTTCAAGGCCAGCCTGGACCACAGAGGATGACCCTGTCTCAAAAACATAAACATAAAAATAAATAAATCAGTAAAATAAAAGTGTACCTTGACTCACTAAAATTGTCTTACATGTTTTACATGTTCTTTGGCCTATTAGTCTGGCTTTCATCTGTATATATGGTAATTAATTCTATGAGGGCTTATAAAATAAATGAATCCAAGTCTGGAAAAATAAAAGGAGTGGAGGGAAGGGGAGAAAAGAATTGAAATGTGTTATATATGTGTACCAGTTTCCTACAGTGAATGTAATCATTATGTACTGCAAACATATACCAATAAAAGTCTAAGCAGTATTTAGATTTCAATATGTTTTCTTTTGTTGATCTTTTCCTAATAATTTTATTGTTTTATGGCATTTTACATGAATTATTTTGTCAAATGTTTAAAATGTTAAAATTTAAAATGTTCTCATTGCTATGTAAAGAGAACTGTTTTTTGTGTACTGATTTTGTATCATGTAGCCTGGTGAACTTGTTCATTAATAGTCTTTTTTATCTTATACTGGGAATCAAAGTCAGGACCTCATGCGTGCCAAGCAGGCACCACAGCACTAATAATCTTTACTATATTCCTCAAGATTTTCTATATAGCAGATGATGGATCACCTGGAAGACTTGAAAGGAGGGAAAAGTTGTTATTTTCATTAGTAGTTCCTCATTTATGAATGTATTCGTTCTTGATGGATGTAAAAATATTTTTTCTAATTCAAGTTAACTTTTATGGAGGTTGTCCTTTGTCTTTCTCTTCTGGAAAAAATGTTTTATACTCTAGACTTTTGATTCAGAATTGACTTACAGATTTTATTTGATAAACACAAAGCAGAATAAATCAAGGTGTTCTCTCTGTCTCATTCTCTCTCCCCCTGCCCTGTGTGTGAGCGTGCGCTTGTGTGTGTGTGTGCGTGTGCTTGTGTGTGTGTGTGTGTGTGTGTGTGTGTGTGTGCATGTCTTCTCATTTCCATCTGAGTGACAAGTGTTGACACAATGCTAGATTCAGGAAAGGAGTGTTCATTGGAGAATTTAATATTAAAACTCAACTTAGTCTAAAAGTTCAGATATAACCATAAGTAGGGGTAATATTTAACAGGACTTCACAGCTATTTATTTTTTCTTGCAAACGTCTCCTTTCAGGAGGAACAACCTCCCTGACAACAACTTGAACGAAGATAAGAGCTACCCCAGTCACCAGACTTGGTTCAGGAGATGGTTCCAACACTGTACCAGGCTGCAAGGGGTCTGCTCACAGAAACTACATTTGAAGGCTATGTTAGATATCTTCTGTTTGACCCACCCTTTCACCCTTTTCCAGTTTACCTTTTCCATTGGGAAGGTGACCTGTATTAACCACATAAATTGCCTTTCAATGAAGCTTTTGACTCAGTTTGGCCAAGGAAAATTACCAGTATATCAGAAGAGGAAAGCTAAGTTCACACATTTATTCTTCTGTTCCTTTTCCCACAAGGTCACCTTGGGCTAGCTTAGTCCTTCAACAAAGTCACAAATGAAGCAGCCAATTATACACACTCACTTCTGTGTTCTGTTAACTAGTCCCTACTCTTGTACGTTAGGATCTAGTGATGATAAGAGTTCAGCTAGTAGATTACTGAGTGCTGTAGTCAGGGGTTGTGCAGAGAACAATTAGAATCAGGACATGGAATTCATAATATTATTTTATGATGGTCACCCAGAGTTAACACAAAGTGCAGGAAATCTGTCCACTACACTAAAGACATAAGATACTCAGCCAGGGGCCTGAATCCCACAGGAATTTCCTTCATGAGACCATCTGAAGACCTAAAGCCCATGACAGTGCCTCCCACGAGTCCAACTGGAGGTCTAGAGCCCACGTAAAGGACTCACACCCGTCTCTTTTAAGGGTCCGTGCTGGGAAGGCCCAAAGGTCAGTGGTGGAAGTCTGTGCCAGTGGGGTGAAGGAGCTATGCTAGTAGGTTGTGGGTTCTACGCTGGAGCTGAGAAGTCAGGCTCAAAACAAAGACGAGGGCTGCCCTGAAAAGCACCCCAGCCATCCTCAGTGACATGGAGGCGCCAAGCTCCTCGGATGATAAGCACAGTGTAGTACATGCCAGGAAGCCAGAATGACGAGTTCGTCCTGGAGACCAAGTGGTACATGTCTTCCCCTCTGGAGCCAGGAAGCAGTGCTCAGTGTGAGGGGCAGAGCTTCTCCAGGAGAACCAAAGGCTCAAACAGTGACACGTAGGAAAACCCACAATGCCTCAGTGCATCAACACCTGGACACCTCCTTCACATTTCTATTTATGCTGGCAACTTTCCTCAGGTGAAACATCTATGCTCAGCACCATGCTGATTTAATTTCTCTGGCATTAAGTTGGCCACCAGTTTTTAATCCATCACACTGAGCTACTTATGGTTCTCTACATTTATGCTTTTATAGATAATCCCTTTGTAAACAAACCCTCTTCTAATTATTGTCAAGTGTGCTATTTCTTGTTGAGATGCAAGTTGATGTTATGGCAACACAGGAGCTTGCAGGGGTACATTGTAGAGTGTAAACTACCCAATTTAAAATTTATCATTCCTTTCTTAAGCATTTTGAATCCCCCCCATCAACCTTTCTTCCTTGTAGCCTAACCAACTAAACAACTTTGTGAAGTAGTCTTTTGAGTTCTTTTTCCTTTCCTTTTCCATCTGTTCTATTCATCCTCACTTCCTCCAACACACACATGCATACACACACACACACACACACACACACACACACACACACTTTTATTTTCTGCCTAGATAACAGCACAGTAAAAACTGGGTATGGTAGTGGCATACACCTGTAATCAAGCCTCTGGGAGGCAGAGAAAGGAGGACCCACAAGTTCAAGCCCAGCCTAAGCAAATTAGTGAGACCCTGTCTTAAATAAAATAAAAACGGGAGAAGCTCAGTCCCAAGACCCTGGGTTTATTCCCTAGTACTGCAGAGATAGTACTTCTGAATGACTTGATTAAATTACTTTATTATGTGAATATTTTAAGGAGAAATCAGTAAATAAAATTACTCCAATATCCGGGTGTTGTGGCAGGTGCCTGTAATCCCAGCACATGGGAGGCTAAAGCCGGAGAATTTCTACGAGTTCAAGGTTAGCTTGGGTTACATAGTGAGTTCAAGGCCAGCCTGAACTACATAAGTTAGACCTTGTCTCAAAAACAAAGAAAACAATGAAAAACCTAGATGAACAAAATGTATTTGGGATCATAAGATGCCCTTTCTCCCAATCAAATCAAACCAGCCTAGTAAATCTTAGGCCAGGCACCTCCCAAAGAAAGAAAGAATTCCTGCTGCATCCTAGCCTATGAGTTGAATGAGGAACTGGGGATATTTGTCTTTAATTGTTATTGCTACTAGAGATTTGCTCTGGGAGACAGTTGGTAGGCAGACGCATCCTGAAGTTACCTAGCCAGGCTTTTCTCAAGTATCTGCAGTTTCTCTCTGAATCTTGGTTCTACCCCTCCTCCACCTCAAAATTTCTCTTAGTGTTACTGTATAGTACCAGAACAATTTATACCAGGATCTAACCTTTATGAGAAAAGGAAAGCTACTCTATGTGAGGGACTGGAGCATGAAGACAAAAGGAAAACAAAATACCCAGAAATGAAACAACTTTCAGTTTCACCTTCCTGTGAGTGAAACTCCAAGAGTAAAGGAAAAAATCAAAATAACAAAAAAGAGTTATGAGAGAAAAACAGTCTTCAACTAATAAGTTGTCAATTGTCAAGTTTTCCATCCACGTGGCTGCACAATATTCCTGTGGAAAAATCAGCGATATTCCCTAGAAAGAAGAAATCACACGTTTCTTTTTTATTTCAATTTATTGCTGTCAACAACTCCCCAAGACAACATAAATGTTAGTTATAAATAGATGCTAAGCAATATTACTTTAGGATAATGATTTCAGAGGAGTGGAGGGGAAAGTCTAGCATGAACAATGCCATCAAGGCAATTGGAAGTAGTATTTCTCCTTGAAAATCAAGCTATGGTATATAGATAGTATACAAATCAACTCCTGGTATGGCACAGTATGGGAGAGTAATTAAATTAATCAACTAGAAGTTCGTCGAATAGTTAGAACCTGACAGTAAATGAACATATTCATTAATCCTATTTTGTGTAATAAAGTGATTTTTTTCATGTCCTAGCTGAGAACCCAAACTGAATGCTCTTCAGTGCTTTGAAGTTGTGGACATGATAAGAGTCCATCGATTGAGAAATACTGCATGACAAAAGATTTATAATTCCTTGTTTAACAGTCAACGTATTTGACAGGATAACATTATATATAAAATATAGCACCAGTAGGTTAACTCCTGTGAAATGTCAACTATTTTAACTAAAATTTGACATGTATTTTAGAATACTTGGGATGTCATTCATTGATTAAAAAGAGATGATACTTCCTGGTAAGCAGCAGCTCAGAGTAGAAAGAGCACTGGACCTGGAGTCAGACGCAATGCGGGTTGTTTTGTCTAAACGCTAATATCCTTTCCAGATTCAGTGTGCTAGTATCTTTTTACTACCGAATCCTGAGTTTGATTTTTTGAGGTAATTTTTAAATGGTCTTAAGTTATTGTCTTTATCATTTTTAAAGGTTAGTTTTGATCACTGAATTCATTCAGGAAATAGTTTAGAAGGAGACAGTTTCATTGGTTTTTAAAAACATGTCTCACACATGTGCTATTGTGCTATCTGATGTTATTTGTTAATAGCAGGCAGGCTTCCTCTACTCTGTCAATAAAACTCAGAAGATATCTGAGAAGGAAATTGCAAAGAGCAACAGCAGTCCTTTCTGCCACAAAGCCAAGAGGAAAATCCTACTGTACGGACTAGATTGGTGTAGTGTGTCTGCATAACTGGCTCCAAATCCCAAGATTAAATAGTTTGGAATTTTAAAAATGAATTCCCTCAAGCAAATGCTTTTGTTTTCAGCTTTGCTTTTCTTCAACTCAATGTGAGTTTACATCTCCATATCAATATCTGATCCATAGAAACCACAAGGCTAAAATGTCCAAAACTAATCTTAACCACATCCTCTCTAAATTTGTTTGATTCTTTTTTGCTGTTGTTTTTGTCTTTTTGAGGCAGGGTCTCACTATGCAGTTGAGGCTGGCTTTGAGCTCCTTTGTAGCCCAGGCTTGTCTCAAACTTGCAATGATCATCCTGCCTCAGCCTGTAAAATGCTGGGATTACAAGTGTTCACCACCACACCTGACTCCTTAGGTTTTTTTTTTTTTTTTTGGTACCGGGGATAGAACTTACAACCTTGCGCTTACCAGACAGCTTGTGCTGTTACGCTAAATCCCTGGCCCTCATTCCGCAGTCCTGTCCCTCTCCAGTACCCACTTCTTATTATAGATAGAAAATTCGTTCTAAAATGCAAATGTGATCATGGATCTTCCCTGACTAAAATGCTTTAAAGATTCCTTTTTACCTACTGAATAAAATTCAAAGTCTCTGAATACCTCCCTAGCCCAATTGCCTGACACTCCCCACCATTCCTCTAAGCTCTTTATACTCCAATTAAATGAACTGCTCAAATTTACTAAAGCACATGATTGCCTTTTCACGATTGTGGCTTTGCATGTGAAACTTCCTCTGAAGCCAGGTGTGGGCTGTACAATTGCAAATTTGAGTCCTGCCCAGCAATTTAGCAACTTAGTGAGACACTACCTCAAAATAAAAAGTAAAAAAGGGCCTGGAGATTTAGCTCAGTGTGAAGGCCCCAGATTCAATTTCTAATACCAAAAAACAAACAAAGTTTAAAAAAATTCCACTCTTATTTCATCATTTATCAGCTGGAAATAGTTATTTTTCCTTATGTTGCATATAGCATTTTTACATAGCAGTTTTATAACTCTTGTTACACCCTATCACAGTTACTTCTCTACTCCTTTGTCTTTACTATCAGACTGTCTGTTCCCTGGTTTGAAGTGAACACTGTAGAGGAGATTGAGATGCTGGATGCTTCTGTCATTAAAGCTTGCTTTGGACCCTGAGACACTAATCTAGTCACCCATACTGGCTTTCTCTCTTTATCCCAGCCCTCCCCCTGGTGGAGGTGTTAAGTAGCAATGGAATGATCACATAGCCGAAGATAAGACAAAGGGACATGGCTGGTCCACAACCTGGACAAACATCTGCCCTGTGTCATTTTCAAAGCAAATACAAAATTGGCTAATGAGCTTTGGCTCCAAGATGGCCTGGTGGGAGCACCATATCTTGTGATGTATTAGTTGGCAAACCCTGATTTCAATTTCCAGGGCTGTAGCTGGGGCTCAACACATTTATCCCTGATGGCCTCCAAGAGTATCACACCACTGTCAAAAAACCCAAGAAGAATTAGCCAGTGGAGATCGTCCATGTTTCCCCCTCTACCTGAAGCTCAGGAAAACCTGTCTGCAGAAATGTTTGCTTTGGGCAATTATACCACAGAGCAAGGAAGGAATCAAGGAGCCCAGTTTCCCCAAACAGTCACACAGAGGGTCTTCATCTTTATCCCAGAACAATATCCAGTTAGCACTGCTTTCCATCCCAGCTGAAGATAACCTAGTCTTGAATCAGTATTTAGTTGCCTCTGAAAGACAGCCAATTTCTCCAGTTCCATGGGATATAGATTGCTATTGGTACAATGGCCTAATGGTATAATCTGGGTTGATCTGAGTGATGATTCTCAAGAAAAGATATTGCCAGCCAGGTTAAAAATGAAGGGGAGCAGATTATCATGTTGGTCAGGAGGAACCTTATCTATAAAATAAAAACTCAGAAAACCTGATGAATTTATAAATATCATAGACACTATCCTGACCATGGCTATTGTGAATTTTATCATACAACATTTATACTATGGTGAGTTTTTTTGAGACAGGGTCTTGCTATGTAGTCCAGGCTGGCTTTGAACTTGTGGCAATTCTCCTGCCTCAGCCTCCCGAGTTCTGGGATTACAGGTGTGTACCACAATACAGTGAGAATTTTAATAGCAAGAAAGATTTTTAGTTTTAAGTGATGGGAAAATAAATTAATATAATCTATTTCTTATCAGGAGAGACTACCTTTAAAAAATCAAATAGCTCCCATATCACTTCTTACACATGTCAAAGGCAAGGAAAAGTAATCTGCTGTCGTGTGTCCACTTGACTGTGTCTTAATAAGAAAAAGAATTCAGGTGCTACCAGGGATAACAGGAGATAAAACAGAAATGGAGTTGGGAGGGGTGGCCTCTTGAAGTTGTTAGGTTTCTATATTCAAGGTGAAGATTACCCTACCCACAAAACGATCATTGATGACATCATTTATGATGCCTTTGCCTTTTAGCTGGCACTGCACAGGCACGGCTTGGTTCTTCACCACATCTGTAAAGTGCATTGCCACCAAAGGGGAAGTGTAGTTAACCTGTAAATAAAAGAACAATGACTCTAAGTAGGGGGAAAATGGTAGGAAGGAAGTGTTCGCTTATTCAGTGCAGGGTGGGATAACCTCTACAACAGGAAGTGAGTACATCTCATGACGCCAAATCACAAATGGTCACAGCAACTGGACATGCTGTCCCTGCCTAGGGAAAGTGTGAGGAAATTCCACATTTTTCTCATACGTCACTGTCACATGTCTGATTTTCCTCTGGGAGAAATGAATTCTGCCTCAGGGTGATTTGATTTTCTGGATGTCAGACCATGAATCAAACCAGCACTAATATCCATCAAGTCTCTGTGCTGGAGATGAAGCCTTCTGCATCCCAAGGCTCCAAATGGGAGAAGCAGTGCGATTATTTGGGCATGATTAAACACAGGTGGTAGTCATTTGTCTACCTCTGGCTTTGCCACTCAGCTATGTGGCTTTGGAAAAGTCACTTTTACTCTATGAGCCCCAACTTTCCCATCTGGAAACTGAGGGAGAGTTAGACTAGACTATATCCAAGATTCTTTCAGATATGAAAAGCCATGCTGCTGTAATAGGAATTTGAGGAGGGAGTCCAGGTTATGGCCATTAGCTATTTATCTATTACTCCCTGCTGTTCCTTAATTCTCATAAATCATTGGTAGCCTTTCCTTTGTCTCTGAGCCCTTTTTGACATCAAAGAAGGAAAGAGATACAGCTTACATGAGTCAGTTTGCCATAGTAAGGGTAGTAGCGGAGGTCAAAGGATGCCGACTCTGGGTAATAATTGATGGATCGGATGTCATTTTCATCACCTCTCTGTAAGTAAAAGCAGATATATGTAGGATGCTGGGTCATAAAGTAAGTTGGGGTCTGAACTAAAGGGACTTGTGCTCCAGGTGAAATATCTGTATGATTCACAATCAGCTGTCCCAGGAAGACCACAAAAGCCAAATGGGTCAGAGGTCAGCCCGACCTATCCCTAGAGGAGCACTTCCTTGGTTTTTCAGTTCACAGACAGCTGAAATAGAAGTTCATGCTGAGGAGTGAATGGCACTCAATGGCTCTGTTCTGGCTCTTACAGAACCCAGACAGAAAGGTTCCAGAGGGCTTGCAATACCTGGTGCTGCATTAGAAAGAAGGTCTAGCACTCTAACCTTTCTCCAAAGAGTCATATGGGGCCTGATGCCCAGCCTTAGACTCTGGAACTGAGGCAGGTAGGTATAAGTTAGAATACATTTATTAAATCCCACTTCACAGTTTGCACATGGCAAGCACAGTTCTATCAGAAGCCGGATCAAATACACAGGGACCTAATGCTTGGGCACACATCCTACAGTTGGTTCACCACAGTCTCGGCAGTGTTTAATTACAGTCGCTGGAGTCAAGAGGACAAGCGAAAGGGATTTAGATAATGGAAATGATTCAACAGGGCTACTCATCACATTGTGTCAGGTAGGGGCCTGCTGATTCTGCCACTGCATTAGGCTTGCCCTAAATAGCACAAAACTAACTAATATGGATGAACAGTGCATTGCTCCTAGAGAATTACTCACTAGGGCCATCTGATTACTTCTTTTGAGAAGCTGTACTGTACTATATTATACTATAATTGTTCTTGGTTTAAACTGAGCAGCTCTCCATAATTCTACTCATTACCTCATCCTGCTTGATTTACACAAATAGGTGTGGATTTTATGAATATTGTTTGTTATAGAATGTACAAAAACTTAATACTTTTTAAAAAGGATACTTCCTAGCAAGGTACAGCTTCCATATGAGCACTACAAGGAGAAATCGATCCAATTAATAAATTAGTTTAAAACCTGGGAAGAGGGGAAGTTTAGCTCAGTGGCACAGCATTCACCCAGCATGTACAAGGCCTTTTGTTCAATCCCCAGCACAGCAAAAAAAGCTAGTTTAAGGCTGAATTGGTCTTTATGATTTATTTATATATTCTTCTAAAAGTCAGTGAGATTTATTTTTCAAGAATCAGGCCTGTAGAATCAGTTTCACTAGTTGGAGTCACATTTCATGTGACTACACACACACACAGAGTACATGCGAACAGAATGAATGTCCTTTCCATTCATTCACCTGGCAAATATTGCCTGAGATTTCTAAGCTCATATTTAGCATCACCATTTCCCACAAGCAACTGACCTTTCTTTAATGCCTCCACTGTGCCTTATGATTTCAACACTTTCACACCTAGCAAAGGATGTGGTATTTATTTAGCAAGTGATCAATAAGTCTTTGCTCTGTATAAGACACTAGCTGAATAAACGCTACCCTTTGCTGTTTTCTGATCTGCCACCACATAGTGAGGAGTTCTGAGCTTGCTTTCTAGTACTATACTGAGAGGGAGATTGCCTGGCCTACCACGTTTACAAGTCCAGTGTGGGGGAGTGCAGTTGATGTCACTGAACAGGAGGGAATCACTGTCTGTTTAAGAAACAAGTCCAGACCTAGGGCTTTTTCCTACAAAGGAGCTAATTGGTGCAGATGAGATAGGAGTTAATGGTCTGGTTAATTAGCATATTAGTAGAGTTCTATTTATACTTCTCTTGTAGTCATTTGTTATTGTAACACCCATTGCCACTGGTCATTGCAGCAAAATGTGAAATTCAGTTTTAAAATCAGGCACTGATGACTCTAGTGAAACCTGTTTGTTTAGTTCAAAGAAACCAGTAATTAGAGCTAAAAGCAAAAGTATAAACAAAATGCCATTTAATGGTTTGGCACATCATTGTTCCCTGCTATGGTCCCTGGCTGAGGTTCAGTCTTTGCCTTTCAAAGATATAAATCTCTCTCTCTCTCTCTCTCTCTCTCTCTCTCTCTCTCTCTCTCTCTCTCTCACACACACACACACACACACACACACACACACATGCATGAATTGAGTGTGTTCTGGAAATTGGAAACTCTGAAGGCACTAAGGACAAGTATAGTTATGAAGAAAAGATTACCACTTCCTTAACCTACAGTCCTTGGAAGGAATGAACTTCCTTTTTACAGGAAATAGACATAGAAGTAACAATACTTACTCAAAAGGACTTTTTACCTGAACTTTGCAGGAAACCTTCACGGGATCTCCAAGCTCAGGAAGAAAGCCTGCAATCTGGCAAATAAGAACCAGTATTTCTTTTTAAACAGATTTGAGAGTAAGACTGAGGATTTTTTATTCCCCCAGTCTGAGTTTCCTTCCTCAGGCATAAATGTCATCTACTTCACCCTCTCCAAGACGCTACAAACAAGCCAGGCCTGGTGGCGCACACCTGCAGGCCCAGATGCTCAGGACACTAAGGTAGGAGGACTACAATTTCAAGGCCAGCCTGGGCAATGTAGTGAGACCCTATCTCAGAATAAAACTTAAAAAGACTGGGGCTGTAGCTAGTTGTTAGAGTGCTTGTCTAGTGCTAGTCTAGCAGGAGGAGGGCCCTGGGCTCCATCCTTAGCACTCCAAATAAATAAATAAATAAAAAGAAATGTTATCAACAACAGAAGATACAACTCCAGAGTTGTACAGCCAAATTTATTCCTTTTATTTACATCTGATAAGTATATGCAGTAAAAACTATAGCAAGATAACTGTAAAGATATAAAGAACTTTTAGGTAAGGCTGTGTCACACCTAAACCATGACAAGAGAGAAGGAAAATACTTTCTTCTCTCTGTCTCTGTGTCTCTCTCTTTTACTGGGGTTGAACCTTAGTGTTGCATACTAAGAGCTCAACCACTGAGCTATACCCGTAGCCCATTTTATTTTTTAATTTGAGACAATGTCTCACTAAACTGCTCAGGCTGACCTCAAACCTGTAATCTGCTTGCTTCAATCTCCTAAACAGCTGGGATTATAACTGTATGCCCGTACACCAGCTGGAAAATGTACCTTTTAATGATGCCAGTACTGTCTCTCACCCACCTCCACATTAATCCTATGTTCCCAAGAGCTCAGGACCCCATTCTTGACAGAGTCCATCAAGGAGCAGGTTTGAGAGTAGGAAAGAAGAATGGTAATAGAAAATGTTCAGGGAGAAAAAGGAATCAATAGATTTGGCTGCTTGTCTGCATTCCTGATGCTGTTGATAAAAATGGCCAAACCTGCAGTGTGTGAAGATCAGAGCCCAAAAGAAATGGAGTGTTTTCCTACCTATCTCATCCACTTATCACCATCAGATAGCAAGGGTTAATGTACCCTGTTCATCTTTAGGAGGATGCAAGGCTGTCCAGTAGAGTATCCAAAAGTAGGGTCCTCCAGACCAGAGCAGTTCTTCAGGAAGGAGCGCTTAAATTGGCAGGCCTTCTTGTCCTCATCCTCATTGCCATCTTGGATGAAGTACTGCCCCGGGGGACAATCTACATTCATTTCCTCTTGAAGACTGTCATTATAACCTGAAGCATGTGTGGGTGGCAAACGTTCATGTTAGATGTGTGCTCAGGGAAAGGCCATGCTTTCAGTGGTTTTCGATCCCTGATTTCTTCCATGCAGCTTGCTTGTACCCTTCCTACAGCCCACTCAGTCTACCCTGAGACTCCTGACCTGCCATTAGGTGCCAAGGGTTTTCACAGCAGTATCCCTCCAAGAAGCCTTCCTGGCTAGTCATTTTAATTCACTTGGTTGCCTGCTTATCGCTTATCCTTCCCTCAGAGCTTCTAGATATCCAGCTCTGGGCAATGAGTTGGCTATCTTATTTCTATTTTCAATTATTCCTTTTCATATGTGGTAAAATTTAAATCTACAATTCTGTCCTTTCTACTTTGGGGACAAAAATAGGCACATAGTAGATTTCGGAAGATGGTTTGAATCATGTTAAGGTGTGGTACATTTTAGCAAGCTAAATTCCCAAGTTAAATCTTCTTAAGTTAAATTTTGGAAACATCTTCTTGTGAGATCAGTGGATGCACTGGGTGTAAGAGAGTGTTGTGGGGAAAAAAGGAAAGTGAAAGAATAGCAGAAGTTGGAAGAGTAACTGGAAGAGAAAGAAAAAGGAATAATCCAGCTCCTCATCCTTTACAGGTAGAAGTTAGCACTGGTACACAGGGACTTGGGTTGAAAGAAACAAATCACAACTATAGGGTTTCCACTAAGAGGGCAAGGGAGGAGATCTTCCCTATTGAGATGTGAGATACTCAGAATTAGTTTCCCTTTCCATTTTGATGGAATGTAATGGGTGTCCATGGTACACACATTAGGGAGAGAGCTGTAAGGAGCACTCTGTTTACTCTTTGAAGTACTAGGTGCTTTAAGAATGGGCTCTGAAAATTATTGCATTATTTCCAATTTGGCTCCAAATGATGGAATCCGGTTAACCTTGTTAGGCCCAGTTCCCTATGCATTTGTGTTTGAAGTAGCTGTTTTTCAGAGGAGACTGCACCAGAGATAAAACTCAAACTATACCGTTGGATCCACATCTACAGAGGTTGTGCCCAGGGTATGATATTATTGAGAGGCATTTAGTAATTTTAAGTCCATTCCAGTTGGCTACGACTTTATTTTTCCTTTGACAAAACCACATTCAGTTGAAGTCTTTGTTATAAACTTTTTTGAAAGAACAAGAACTATATTCACACAATAACTTTCTAAATAGAAACTGCCATCATGTGCTTATTGTTTCTCTTGAGGTAGTCCCTTAAAAATAATGTGACATGGGTATGACTCTTATTGCAAAATCACAGTCCTCGTGGGCATGTAACTGATACTGTGGGATGTCTATTTCAGAGATGTGTTCCTGTTTAGCAGGTCATATTATCTGCTTTTAGGAACTAAAGACTCAAGCCTTTTCTAATGTGCCCTGACTCCATCATTAGGTCAGAATTGGTATTTCTTCACCCACTCACTTCTCAGAGGGATTTCCTACACAGAAATTTTGGCAATGTACATATTTGTAACAGCTTTTAAGCATTTTGAAAGAAAAAAAGATATTGTCCTGACTGTTATGCCCTAAACATTTTTTGTGGCCAAAAATGCAATTACACAGCTTCAGAAAGAACCCAGCCACTCTCATTCTACAGGTGAGAAATCTGAGGTTCAGTCTTACCCCAAACAACATTGAGCATTACTGGCATAAATCTGAGTTTCTAACTCCTGGTCAGACAGCAAGCATAGAGTTATGAAAAACAACACTTTATAAACTTTAAAGTTCATACAAATCACCTGTAATTTTTGCTCAAATACAGATTCTAGTTCAATAGCTCTGAAGTAGGGCTCAGGATTGTCTTTCTAAAAAATTTCCCAGGTTATACCCAAGTTACAGGTCCCTGCATAACACTTTAGAGTAGCAAGGTCATCAAAACATCCAGTTTAAACACTGCTTCTGCTGCTAGATTTCAATCAAGTCGCTTTCCCCTTCTGAGCCTGAGTTCCCTCAGTTTGTAAAATGAAGACAAAGGACTCTGCTATGAAGGGTTAAAGTTGAGTGACAAAATTTACACATTTTAAAAAGCACTTCCTGGCGTGTGATAAGAAGTCACTACCCTCCTAATTCAGTATGCATTCTACTAGCTATCTTTATGCCCCTATTTCAGCCAGGCCAGGGCAGCAAGTAACTATGCACTGCTTTTTTTGCACAACAATAAGGTGCACCAAATGTAAACCCCTCTGGGATTTCTCTTTGGTAGCTGGGTAAATACAGAACTTGTATGTTCTGGGTTTAACATTACCAAGCTGCTACCATCTCCACTTTTGCCATGTGGAAGGGCTTCCCACAAATCCATTTTGTTCCTGAAGAGGTACCTTAAAAATATTTGCTATCAAAATGTTGGCGTGATGCCGCCCACAGGTTATTCCTCTCACTCCTTTCTGGCTTGCTGTTAAAGACACTGCTTTCCTTCTTCAGATAGTCAATTTCCAAGAAATCAATTATCTTACCTTGAGACAGTATAGCAGACAGAAATCTTCCAGCTCTGGAGAACATTCTCCTTTACTCATCAATATCACGCTCCAGAATTATCTTTGATTAGGGATTGCTATTGAGCTATCTAGAGGTCCTTAGGCTTTATCTAAGTGCTATAGGGTGTTCATAAAGAGAAGTTTTCTGCCTCAAAGAGGTTACTGAGAGTTGGCTTATGTACTTTCACAGTAATATGCAATCACATACTAGAGCAGTTTTGATTGGACAAAGGGTACTGAGGGGGATACAAAGTAAGGAAAGATCATGATAGGTTGAGGTTACTAGGACTGGGATTTCTGGGCCAGGAGAATTTTGAATTCCCACCCACTGCCTTTCAAGAGAGTTTTCTGCTATTCTGAGAAACTTACCTTGGAGAAAGCCATTTAGGCTAATCACATAATGCTGCCAAGTGTCAGGTTCAGAAACGTTGAAGTTGAAGTTAAGACTATGGGCGAAGGGTCTGATCATAACTCCTGGCAATGAAAACAGGTCTTGGATATATTAGCCCATTCTTGGATAATTGTTGTATTGATTCCCATGAAACTATAGACTATCAAAAATGAAAAGGACCATAATTTTCCAACTGCCATTTTAATTTTACTCTTAATAATTGAATCTCTGTTATTATCGGGAAGAACTGAAGTTAATTGAGGCTGAACATGCTGTGAAAACAGATTTCTGTCCAGCAACTTTTGACAACACAGACCATTTGGACACACTCACCAGGAGTTTTCACCCGTTCAGTGAAGGTCGGCATATAAGGGCTGATGGTCAGAAATAGCATGTACATGCAGAGAGTGATCACAGCAGCCAGAGAAGCATAGAAGAAGAAGTAAATGAATAAAATCAGGCCTGCAGAGCAATCAAAGGCGACAGTGGTCAGTGCCTGCCAACAAGCCCAGCCTCCCCACTTGAACTCACAATCCCTAATCAATCCAAGTGTAAGATAGACTTTTTAATCCCTCAGATTCAGTATGCCTTGTTGATGCAGATTGCAACAATCAGAAATTGGTGAGGATTGTGTCAGGGGTCTCACTGTAGTTTACCTCTCCAACGGAAGGGCTTGCTGAATACATGATGATCAGGAACAAAATTATAGGGGAGTGTAGTTTAAAGTACTGCAGAGGGCAAATCGCTTCAGAGTCCTCTGGGCAACAGAAGATGTCCTAAGTACAAATCATTCTTCACTATTCATTAAAGCAGGTGACCTGAAGAGTCCTGACAGCTCAGTTCCAGTGATTATATGTATTTGCAAGAAGTGCAAACAACATTTCTTTTCTTGTAGTCTATAATTCAAATTTTGCTTAATTTCTACTGGACTTGCTGCTAATCAAAACAGTGAGGTTTTACCCTACTTATTTCAAATCTTACTAATTTTCAGCGAAGTTTAAGTGGTTTTGCTTTTTAAAAAGAACACGAATGCAGGGTGGGAAAGGGAGGAGGAGGAAACGGTCCTTAATCACGGACACTTGGTGCCTGTGAACTTGGGCAAATTACATAATTTTTCTGTGCCCCTGATTCATCACAGGTAGAATAATGATGCTTTCAGAAACTACCTCATGATCTCTCAGTCTCTTCTGACATCCTGTCTTGAATATATCACTTTCTAGCTGTTTATTCTTCCATATACTATTTACCTCACTGGACCACAATTTTTCCTCTCTGGAAAATAAGAATAATAACAGTTTTGTACTCACTTCTTAGCATTAAGTAATGCATAGAAACAGCATTGTACAAAGCTTAGCAGATATTAAGTATTATATACGTGGCAAGCATCATCATTGTTATTATTATTGCTATAGGACCAACTGAATAGTGAATAGGAGACTAGAATAAACTACATAACTCTGCTGTACTCAAACTGAATTCAAATATTGTTTTCAGTTAAACTATGAACCAAATAAATACGACTAAAAAGTTGTGTGTGTGTGTGTGTGTGTGTGTGTGTGTGTGTGTGTGTGTGTATGTGTGTAGGGGAGAAAAAAACCCATAGTAACCCAACTGGAAATGGAACTGGCTATGTTTGATAAGATGAACTAAAACAGAACTGGAACATGAACATATTGGTTCCCTTGGAGTCCCTGGAGGAGAAATAGCAGTGCTTGTGTGCCTGTGGTACCTGGCTATCCCTGTGTACTTCCTCCTCTGCTCATCCCCCTTATCTCCATCCTGGGAACAGATCAACAGTTGAAGCCATCCCAATTCAGTGTCATGCATGAACATGAAGCAATGAAATACGAGTGTAATCCTTTGGCAGTATGTCCCCCCCACTCCAGGACGTATAGCCAAGAACTTACAGATGGGAGAATAGCATTAGCAGTAAGTCCCTTTAGCTTCTCCTGGGAGGGGTTATCTGGGGTCTGTGATAGTCTATCTTACCTCTACCTGGGCAAAAAGTGTGACCTGCATTTGAACCCACTGATCCCTTCAATTCCCTTTCTGCTCCAGATATTCAAATTTCACTTGGGTTCCTCCCCTAAGTAACCTAGAGCTCTCTCCTGAATGCCTCACCCAGGCTTAGATGGAACACTAAGTACCTATGCTCCCAATGAGTCACTCCTCCCACCAAAACAGCCTATCTGGTCCTGAGGCTCAACCCATCAGGGCCTTGATGATTGTTGGAATTTATGAAGATAATGCATTGTCCTGGCAAAAGAATGAACTGGTGTTTGAGTCCCAGCATTGTCACTTACAGTTACTGTGTGACTTTAGACAAATTACTTACCCTCTCTAAGCCTCAGTTTCTGCATCTGTAAAATGGGGATAATAATATTACAACCTCATATGGTTCTGGTCAATATCTAATAAAATAACATATAGTTCCTGAGAATAAGGGTTGCCCAGCTACCAAATGAAAAGCCCAGAGTGTTTTAACAGACTGGGTGAATATGTTGGATACATTGATGTCTAGGTTAGGACAGACTTAATAATGCTCAAGTAGGCACATAGCCATCAAGAAACAGGGCAGCCTGGGAATTAATATTACCATTGGCCCTTGGGCATGGTGTAGCTCAACAGAAGCTTGAATTCCTGGGCTTTCCTTAAACCTGCTACCCAGCATTCTGGCTATGGCCTGTCATGCAAGAGTCTGCACTGTCGTATCTTCCCCAGATACTTGAAACTTTCTCCCGCATCCCCCTTATTGGTCTATGGATTGTCCTCCACAGGAGCAATTTAGAACAGCTCAGTTGGTAAGGTTCCAATGGCTGGCTGTTTAGGGGTGAACACATGGCTTCTCACTCCAGAATCATGCTTACATTGTACAAGGTCTGTTTTTGCAGACTTCTTTAGGCTGTGAAAAAAACAGCTGTGTTCATTTTGGAGGCCCAGTGTATGTCCACCATTTGTTTGCAGCTTCAAGAATGTCAGAATATCCCTTAAATGATACATTTATTCCAGTTGAGAGTTTGAGGGATGGAGAGGGGTGGGGCTGGGAACAGAGTGGGTGACAGGAGATGGAAGTTGATCAGAGTCCCACACCCGCTCTTCCTAATTTCAGGAAGTAGGGATGGATGCTTCAAAAGAGAGAATTATCAGCCAAAGGGGCCTTTAGAAAGGCATAGTTGTCAAATTCGGCAAGCTATACTCTTGGCACTAACGGACTCATTTCATCCATGGTGTCTTCGTTTTTTCTCCTATGGAGTGAGGTCCAAACCAGCAGCTGTTCTTTATTCTGGGCTGCTTAGAGTGTGGCAAGTGTGAACTTTGCCATGGGCAAAACCTGAGAAGGACCAGCAGTGATAGTTTAAGAAGTGGGTAGGATCCTGGAAAGACAGTGTTAGAGAGATTGGGAAATAAACATGATGTTGGTGTGTGGTATAAAAAGGGGAAGCTAAGGCATAAATTCTGCCATTGATCAAGCAACATGGAGGCCCAGGCTTACTCTCTAGTACAGAATCCCTTACACCTAATTCTCCTGTCTCTACGTGGATGAACTGAGTACAGTTAAGCTGGGGCCAGGGACAGGCCTTTTGGTTCTCCTTCTCTGACATTACTAAGTGATGATAAGGCTTTATCAGATTAGCAGGGACATGGGTCTCATATCCTAGAGAAAGTCTTATTTGTAATACTTTTCCCCCAGTACTAGGGATTGAACCCCAGGTCATCTCACTGAGCCATATTCCCAGACCTTTCTGCTAGGAGTAGTACTCTCAGTTTTAAAAATTTTATATATATAATTTTAATACTGAAGTGTGATGCTGACCTTGTAAGAGAGGCAAGGCACTGTTTCCCTCATTTAATAGGTGGGGAGACTGAGGCTAAGAGAAGGTAAATGATAAACTCAAAACTCACATGGAATAAAAGTGACAGGGCTGGAACTCTGAAAAAAAAATTTCCATCTTTCCAACTAATTCTCACTGTGTCTCTGCATTGCATACTGAGCCCAGTGCATTTCAGTCAACTTTGTTCATCTATGTATTGAGTTTGTTCAGATGGATCTGTCCACAGTCCACGCATTTTTCTAGGCATTGGTGCCTTCGTGTGAAATATTAAGAGAAGTTTTTAGCCAGTGTATGGTAAAGGATCCCTGGATACCATGCCAAAAAAAAAAAAAAAAAAAAAAAAAGACACCAGACTGGGGCATTGGGATGAATGGGACTTACTCCAGCTCTGACCTGTTTGGGCCAGAGACATCCTTCTCTCTGGATCCCACAGGTATTCGATCATGATCTGTAATTTCTGCCACCAGGCATTGCCTATGGGCTGCTCTTGACTCTTTTCCTCCTCCTCTTTCTTTTCCTTTTCTTCTTCCAAATCAGGCACCACCATCACAGGAGCCTCCTCTTCTCCTGCTTCCTCTTCATCTGCCAAGTAGCTCTGATTTTCCTCACCCTGATCATCCTGAAACAGGGACAAAACACAGTCCTCTTTTTGAAGAAGATAAAAAGCCCAATGACACATACCTCCAGTCAAAAATAAATGCAAACCACTCAATATTTGGAGCTCCTTCAAATTTCCACTTCCTCATAAACATACCCATTGTTAGGAGAGGTGGATTTTCTTCTTGTTCTTTTGGAGGAAATATCTTTTTTTCTGATCAATATTGAATCAGTACTCTTTCCATAGAGATACAAGTGTTATTCTCAGCTTCTGTCCTTTAGGCTCTTCTGCTAGGACATCTCTTGTCACTACTCTATCCCAAGACCCTGGCCTTCCACTTAACTTTGAACTGTCAATGCAGATTTGAGCTCACATTAGAAGATAGAGTAGTCTTGGACATACATGTGCATGACTGAAGATTTTCGGTCCAAGCCTGCTTTGTTCCAACTCCCTGTATACATTCAGTTGCTCAATTTCACATCCCAAGTTGTACCTAAAAAGTCTAGGACGGGCACTGGAGGGAGATGCCAACTGTTGTGCCCCATCTCAAAACTTAGACTACTTTCCTGACAGAATCAAGAGATGGGAGTTTATTTTCTGCTTCTCTAACTACTGCCATAGGTGGAACCCTTTCATGTCTTAGGCTACATGGACGGGCTACCTGAGAGCTGGGACCCCAAATACTCCTTTCTTAATTCCCCCTGTACCCTAGGCAAAAAGCTGGGCATGTAGTAAAGTGTTAAGCACATATTCGCTGATTGACTGATTGCAGCCATTACATGAGATTTGAAACTGTAATCTTCTCTGAGTGGTTCTCAGAAAATTAAACCAAAAAGAAAAAAAGAAGAAAAAGAAAAACTCAATTTCAAATGGTGTTTTAAATGCCTTCCAAACACAGGCTGGAGGGCTGTTTTGTATCTTTTCTCTTTAGGGGTTTGCCAAGGCTCACTGCCACATCAGAAAATAAGGCCACCCTCCGTTCTCTCTGCTGTCCAAGTCTGAAGAGTGGCGGGGCTTGTGCACCTGTTAGGGTCAGATATGTCAAGTGTTCAATGCCAAAGACTCTCTGCTGTGCCCTCCCTGCCTGATTCCTCAAAGGCCACTTAGAGGGCACACTGCTAAAATAGTGCTGCCTTTGGTGAAGTGTTCATGAAATCAGAGTGTTCAGAATCAGTAAAAGTGATATGGAATGACAAGGCTCTACTCTCACCATTCATTCTGTTCAGTGCCATGTAGCTCTTGATTATAAGTGCACTTGAATTGCTCTCTAATTTGTTCAAATGTACAGCTGTATATCATAGACACCATAGTAGAACTGACAGGGATATTCAAGATTTGTTTTTCCATATCAGGCCCAGATAGGGGATAGGATTTAGCTAAAGCTGTGTAACAAATTCATGACATAATTGACGCTCTCAGAACCTATGTCTTTTGGTGCTCTGGACAATGAAGTTTGTTCTCCATTACATTGAGCCTAAGTGCCTAGTAGTGGCTTAGCAGATTTATGAAACATAATATCATCTTAGCGTCTGTGTTCCCACGAGATTATAGGTGCTATATAGTCAATGATTAATTTTTACTCTGAAATGGATTCACAGTGTAAGACTTAAAAAATAAGTTTCATCTCTCACTCAGTGTTAGATGGATGAATACATGTTCTTAAGTCTCTAACTTTTTTTGTGAACCTGTGTACATATTTGACCTTCCAAACTATATTTTGAGTGCCCAATGGAAGAGTCCATTCTTTTCTAACCTCTTGTTGATCTTCCATAGTGTGAAGTCCACAGCTAAGTATCCAGTGGCTACTGACAAAATATCAAATGATACCTGCCTGAATTAAAATACCTTGTGCAGGACTCTGGGGTAAATGCTGTCACAGAGCTTATTACCTTAGCCTCAGTAGTCATGTGCATTAGAGTGGGTAGTCATCATGACCCATACAGAACCTACTGCATTTGAGAATCTCAGAGACTTTGAAATGTATCTTTGCATGATGGAGAAATTTATGTTTCCTTTGTAGTTTCTGAACATCTTCCTTTTCTCTCCTTATTGCCTAGGCCTGCCTTCCACTGTGTTGGCCATGGCCTCACCCTGATCTTATCTGTAGATATGTGTTCTCATGATAATCTCATTAAAAATTGCTTGTCATTTTAATGTAAGACTTTAGTCTTACTCTCCTGGGAAGAAGTAATCTTCTCAGAGCTAATTTCTTCCCACAGATCTCACACCACCTGAGTCTTACTTTAGGTACCTCAAATACTGTTTTTCTTCTCCCTTGATTCCAGCCAGGGATGTAGGAATAACACATTGTGCAAGAAAGGCCTCTTGAAAGTTTCTTGTTAAGTAAATCTGTATAAAATGTATTTTCATGGAGCTACTTTAACAAAAATGTAGCAGGAATCCTTTGGTGATGAGAATGTATGTCCCCCAGGTTCTGTTTTCGTCCGCTTCCTCATATGACAGTGTGTTTGTGTGTGCTGGAATATGGCACTGGGTGTGAACTGGGGCCATCGTGTTTCGCTAAAAAGGAAGTCTGAAGGACAGGGAATGGCTCCATCTTGAGCAATCAAAACATCTAAATAAATACATAAACAAACCTTGCAACCCAAAGGATAAATTTGTGCCCTGAATTAAACAATATCCTGTAAATAAATGAATGGTTGGTTAATTTCAAGAGAGAGATTAAGTATATGATTATATCAAATAATTTCTTTTTTAATTTGATCAAGTATTATAAAGAGTAAGATCCTCTGATGCATTTAAAATCCAAACTACTTGCCAAACAGCTGAAATTGCACACAACAGTTTATCAACATTCCATAGAAAAAAAGCCAAGTGAGGAATACTTATATTTTTCCCACCAAGCATGACTACTGAGAGCTAGAAGGCACTTTGGAAATATCAAAAGAAAGATTCTACAAATTGTGTCTAGAAAACTAAGAGAAGCCTCCGATAGTTGACAGGGGATTAGAAGAATTCATGTTTTCTTCTACTGGTGCTTGACAGTCTTCATTTAATTCCCTGGTTATACAAGTGGACTTATCCAAAGAAAAATGGATTATGCTTTTTCTCTTATATTACAGCATTCTTTGTGAACATCTACCAACAGTATTGTGTATGGCATATACTAATGATTTATAGCAAAGAAAATGTAAAGGAACTTTTGGATCAAATAATGTAGCCAGGAGATAAATAATGACAGCAAAGGTGTATGAATTGGGGTGTATGTGTGTACATATTTGTGCTAGGCAGTATGAGATGATCGACAAAGTGGTAAAGTGGGTAGTGGTTTACCAGGGGAGGAGGGAGTTGCATACTGTGAATACAACAAAAAGAATACTGCATTAGAAGCGAGGAGACTCACATTCTTATGTTGGGTCCTCCATGAACTAGCAAGTCACTCCAGTGCTCTGAGCATAATGAGGGGTTCTGGAGTGATGATGTCTAAGATTTCCCCCAACTCCTATCAAGGAGTCTATCATTTTAGTGATAACTGGGTGATTTCTGATTTAGAAAAGGAGCAGCTGGATTCTAAGAAGCTAACATCTAAAGGGACTAAAACAGCTGGATAACTAGTGCCTGTCATTTTCTCTTCTCTTTCCCTTCTCTCTTGACTTATTTTTGCTAACAGAATGGAACCTCTACGTCTAGATTCCAAAAGGTCTGTGTAATTCTAGGCTCCTAAGGGGAAAAAAAAACATTAAATGGCTCATTATTCTCTGGTATGTTACCCTTTCCTTCTTTTTGTTCCACAAGAAACAGCACTTCCTCCCTCCACCCAGCAATTTAAGGTAGTAAGGGTGTAGGGGACTAGGAGTCAATGTTTTTCTTGAAATCCTGGTTTTCCCTGAGCTTTACTGTTTCTGCTCATCCCAAGGATAAACCACTGTCTACACAGTCCCCAACCCACCCCATTAAAAAGGAGAAGCAAAATATTCTGCTTCCTAGGACTCACAAGTCTGTAGCGATAACCATAAGGAAAGGCCGGAGCCCTCCTGGGCTGGAGTTGCCTTCTCATGGCCGTTCAGTGGGCAAAGATACTGTGGAGGCAGCAAGTAGGAGACTTCTGGACTTCTGATGGTACAGGAGACACTGATTACTGGGAATGCTTGGCGCGTGGTAAAAGTGAACCTTCCTGGCATAAGCCCTTCCTCAAAATAATCTAACATGCCCCTTTCTCATTGGTTGGCCCCTTCCCTGAATCAAAGGAAAGTCCTTATGGAAAAGCAAGCTCATCATTACAGGGAGGGGAGATATTCTGGGTCATGAGAATGAGTGACTCACCCCCCTCCTTCATGTATCTTTCCACCCTCTGCCCTTCTCCAGCGCCTGAGATACAATGGGCCCAATGGAAATCCTAAGTCATATTCTTCTCAATTGAGAGTTGGATATCAGTGTGTAAGGGGCGGGGCGTGGGTGGGAGTTGGGGGTGAGGGGAGGTGGCCAAGAATAACTTGCTTTTTTCATGAGGCTGATGTCATGCAAAAGGATCTAGGGTGTCAGGAAAAACTCCCTTTGCTTTCCTCATCTCCCTCCCCCCACACAGATCCACCTAGAATATTCCTTATTTGTGTCAATCCACGAACACCTTAAAATCTGTATTGTGCCTTTTAATTTTAAAGGAAAGTTTCTTGTTTTACCTCTCCTTGCTCCAAAGACAGTCTTTGACAAAGAAGCCTTTTCCTAGTCCACATATCAGAGTGGCCCCATCAGCCACTGCCCCTCATACACACACCCCTTGGAATCCTGGCCAAATTTCTGCAGTGGTTGAGATCTATATTTATCCCTTAGCATCAGGGCAGAGAACAGGCCAGAACTTTGCAGTGTCAGTTTCCCAGACATATATAACTTCTGAAGCCAATATGGGATCCAACAAAAGAAAAATTAGTAGAAGCAGCTTAAAATATTATATAGCATTTTTTGTCTGTTTGGTCCACTCCACTGGGGCCTGGAGAATTAAAAGCGTTTGATGTAGTTTGTGATCCCTCCTTTACAGATCACTTCCTGCTCCATTACACCTGGGTGGTTGAGCATGTTGCAGAAACTGAGGTTCTGGGCATATTAATAACCAAGACAAACAGCATAATCATTTAGATAGATAGGTTTGATCATAATGCCAACTATAGGATATTCTTATTAAAATGGTTTCAATTGTAGTTACCTTAAAATAAGGACTTCATTTACCATAATGTTACTAATTTGGACTACTCCTTTTTTATTTTTTAAATTTTTTAAAAAAAATTTATTTAAAGAAAGAGTAAACAAAACAGAAAATGTGTAGAAATAATACATACATTCAAAGAAAAAATAAACAGTAAGAAATCACCAGTTGATGTTTACATACTATCTTCTTACAAATAGTTGTTCAAGATACAAAAGTGGAACATATAAAGTGGGAATTCAAACAGCGAGACTGCAAACAGTTCTGTTCAACTAGCCAACAAAAAGCTAGTAACATGGTTGTCAATCCTTTACACTTAAACATACATGCAGTTAGCCATATCTTCAATTATGTTGAGATTGAACAAACCCAAGCAGGCTAATATCACTCTGACCAAAGAATAATACTATTGCTGGGTTTCACATTATGACACTCCAGGATCAGCACTGGATACTTTAGTGTCTCTTTTTCTTCAAAGTATTTTTTCATCATGTGTCGTAAGATCAGTTCCTATAAACTGTTTATATAGGTTCTACACATGGGTGAGTCTTAACATGTATTTCTATCCTTTCTATATTAGAGGGAGAAACAAAACAGAGTAACACAAAATAAAACATATTTCTATAAACACATGAAACGAAAAAGACATATAAGACCATTGTACAAAGAATTCTACCATAGTTCCTGTGTTTTCTCTTGTTAACTTCAATTGAATTTGTTGTATCATCAAACATAGTATAATTGAATGTATCAGTACATAACAGTATTAATAAAAAGAAGACTTTGTATATAGTATAAAACTTCAAAAGCAGGCAGTTATCAAACCAGAGTATGTATCGTAGAGTCTTGTCATCTTCAGTGTAGTTGCCTATACCCTCAGACTTGATACTATCAGTCATATCAGTTTTGAATAAAATCTGTCAATACCAAACAGCAATAAAACAAACCAGATTTAACTAAGATCAGTCATGATAAAACAGTATAAGTCATACAGGGCTCCAGATTAAGTTAATAGGAAATTAAAGATGATTACTGTGCTATATCCTGATGTTTTTGGAATAGCTGTCTGTGCCCTCAAATCTAATGCAAGTAGACAAACTGGGACAGAATAAAATCTATGTAAGCAGAGTGGTGAGAGTAACGTGGGTTTTAAATCCTTACACACTATTAACAATATCTTCTGCCAACTTTTTAAAGACTCTCCCTCCCCTTTTACTTCCCTAGGGTACACTGTGCATTTTTGGGTTTCACCAAGACTCTTGGCTTTAAATTAGGGGGGGTGGACATGCTATTACCTAACTGGTTCCAAACCTTCTCTCTCTTGGACTTGATCTCTTTACCTATTAAAGCCTCTTTTTCCAGCCTATCCACAAATACTGGTCTAGTTGCCCCTATTACTCTCTGGTTCTGTATCACATGGGGAATTGTTTTCTCATATTTGATTTTCAATCCATGTATGCTTTTTCATGTTAATTATATTTCCTAAAAATAGCAACTTGGTGGACCCTACCTCCTGATCTACTCTACGTGTGGTTCTTTTTTTCTTTTTAAATTTAGTGTTTCAAGACTATTTATATTAGAGATTATAAGCAACCTTCTCTGCCTCATTTCTGTTATGCCTCTTTTTTTGCCATCAGTTTTCTGTTTCTTCATTCTGTTAAGGAAAACTTCCCAAACATAGGAAAAGGAAATGATCTTCTGATATATGAGGCATACAGAACTCCAGCCACCTACAACCAAAACAGAGCTACAGCCAGGCATATAATAGTCAATATCCCAGAAATTCAATTTAAGAACAGAATATTAAAAGCTGTTAGAGACAATCTTCATTCTGTTTTCTGTTCCATTCATTGAGGCTGGCCTCTCTGCCACTGTTCCTGGAATCCTAGTACTTTTCTCTCTCTCTAGAATGCCCTGCAGTATTCTCTGTAGAGTTGGATTAGTGGTGGCAAATTTCTCAAGTTCCTCTTTGTATTAGAAGCATCTTGTTTCTCCATTAATTTCTAGAGACAGTTTTTCAGGGTATATCAGTCTGGGCTGGAGGTTATTTTCTTTCAGAGCTTGCAATATTTCGCTCCAGGCTCTTCTTGACTGGATGTCTTGTGTTGAGAAATCTGCCATGATTCTGATGGGCCTTCCTTTATAGGTTATCTGTTTCTTGTCTCTAACAGCTTTTAATATTCTGTACTTAAATGGAATTTCTGGGATCTTGACTATTATATGCCTGGGTGTAGCTCTGTTTTGGTTGTAGGTGGATGGAGTTCTGTATGCCTCATATATCAGAATATCATTTCCTTTTCCTATATTTGGGAAGTTTTCCTTAATTATTTCTGTGAATAACCTTTGTAGTTCTTTTGTTTGTACCCCTGCTTCTTCAGTTACATTCTCAAGTTATAGATCTTCTTGTTGTCTTCTAGCCTTTGTATTGTTACTGCTTGTTTCCTTGTTTTTTAAAAAAAGTTTTCCCTTTCATAATCCCATATTGCAAACCTCTCCTCCAGTTTGAATAATCTATCCTTAGTTTCTTCAAGCAATTTTGCCATCTTTCCATAGAGTTTTTAATTTCCTGGTAATCTCTTTGAATCTGCTTCATGTATTCTATATTTTCTTTATATTCTTCATCAAATGGTTCTCTCTTTTGTTTGAGTTCCTCCATTCTTCCATTTGTGTCTTCTTGAGGGGTGCTTAGCATCTCTTTTATTAATCTTCCTATATCTTGCTTTACTTGGCTAAATATTTCCCTTTGGAACTTGTCTATGAAGTCTCAAAGATATCTCTTTATGTCCACTGGTGCCCTGTCTGATATTGCATGTTTGCTGTCCTCATTCTCCTTTGTATTTTCCTGTCCTGATGCAGTGTTCTCAGGGTTGGGACTTGGGGACTTTTTGTTGTTGCTTCCTCTTCCCATCTTTTTTGCTTCTTCCAGGAGGCCCCAGTTTCTTTCTTTGTTGGTTACAGTTCTTCTGAAGCACACTGGCTAGGTGACCCTTCCCACTGCCATGTGCTAGTGAGTCGCAAACAGGGGCAGCTTATGCTAGCCCCTCCCCTCTGGGTCAGTCAAGCTGCTGAGGCCTTCACTGGGTTAGTGTGCGCCACCACCGTAGGGAACTGATTTTAGATGACCTATTGGGTCTCAACCAGGTCGAGTGACCCAGGCCAAGTTCACTCCACCAATCCCATTCAGGAAGGGAACAATTGACTGTAGTCACTGCTGCCCCTTGTTCTTGCTAGTCCTGCCCAGTCCAGAATGTTGTCTGTTGGAGCCCCTTTTTCTGTAGAATGGTTTTATTCCCATCACTCACCATAGGTCAATGCAGGTTCCCTGCTAGCTCAGCTTTCTGTTCAGCTCACCGACCCCTGATCTCAGTGTGACTGCATTTCCAGTGAGTTGAAGCGGTGGGATTTCAGATAGCTCAGTAAGTCACAGCCACGTGAGTTTGGGTGCTGCAGCGGGAGCACTGAACCTTTAGCTGTTCCAATAATAGCACTGGGACTGTATGTTTGATTGGTTTTTCTTCTCACCTTAGTTTCTTCTTGGGATGAGAGAATTCATCTCCCTCTGTTCGGGACTTGCCACACTGTATTATGTTGAATTCTAAGTTGACTATTTCAGGGAGCCTCTGTAGCCAGCTGTTATCTATCCGCCATCTTTGCTCGAATCCTAATTTGGACTACTCTTTAACAGAGGCTGTTCCCAAACTTTTCTTTGAAGAGAAAGAAGCCACTTACAAAAAAGCAAAGCTCACACTCTTCTTTGGATTTTAATGAAAGAAAAATATGTTCCAGAGGCTACCTGGTCTGGGTAGATGTTGAGCTCTACGTCTATACCTTCAATGCTCCACTATTTTGGGTGGTTTCAGCTGTTAAATATGAGAATTGTGAGGCCCATGGAAGACTTAAAAACTGACCAAAGGGTAGGTAAACTGGTTGTATTAGTTACTTTTCTTGTTGCTGAGACAAAATACACAACATCCACAAGTTAAGGAAGAAAA